TCTTGGGCTACTATTTACCAAAGCTACTCGAGGTCTGTCTGGTCAAGCCGTCCCTAATTTTGAAGCGACAGACTAGAAGAAAGTCATCACCACCCACCGCTAACTCGTGGGCTACTATTTACCAAAGCTACTCGAGGGCTGTCTGGTCTAGCTGTCCCTAATTTTGAAGTGATGGACCAGAAGAAAGTCATCACCACCCACCGCTATCTCTTGGGCTACTATTTACCAAAGAAAGATGGGAATAACCATCACATTATAGCGCTCCCACTGCTGATAGAATGAGAATGTTCGGTAAAGTTATTCGAACCTGCGACCTAAAGAAAAAAAAAAGTTAGTATTTTCTTCCATTTCATGCTATCTACGAAAGATGGAAAGCTTTCATGTTGTTTTTACAGCTTCCTTTAAAACAGCAAGATCGTCGAAAGACTTTACCATTCTCCTCGCAGAAACAGACCTGTCTGAACAGTCTGTCTGTTCGAAATAAATATCTGCCAGAATCTTCAAACCGACTCTGGGAATAAAATAAATTAAGCAAGACTGTTATAATTATAACCAGTTCGCGGGATTTACACATATCTGGAACATCAGTAAAAAAAGTTTAAACGTGCAACAAAATTATCAGATATTCCAGTATGTGAGTACACTCAAATTAGCCAATTGATTAGATTCCACGAAACAACGTGATTAGTCTATTATTCGAGCAAACACTAAAACTAATATTCATCAGTAAAAGCTACTCAGTCAAATAACCAAGCTTATCAGGATTTCTTAGTTGATACTATAACTCCCAATAACCACTGTTCAGTCACCAGAATCTATAACTCAGAAATACAGAAAGCAAAAATGATCTTTTCTTTTACAAGTTGACAGGAGCACTCAGTATATTTTTTCAGGTGAATGATAGCATTCGGAACAAGAAGAAGACGCTGCAATAAATAACTTACTTTTACCAACTCTTCCGACAATCTTTAACGTAACAATAAACATCCGTATATTCCTTTTAGCAACATAACCTATTATTTTGTTCGTGCGAATGTTGAACCTAATGAAGATTTTCAGAGTGGCAGATCTCTGTTAATAAATTATCTGTTTGAAGTTAAGCACAAAGCTACGCAATCGGCTATCTGTGCTCTGCACACCACGGGTATCGAAACCCGGTTTCTAGCGTTGTGAGTCCGCAGACATTCCGCTGTGCCACTGGGGGGAGGGGGCGTTAATAAGTTATATGTAAAACCAATTGGTGGGACTTTAGCACTCATAACGTTCAGTGAAGGAAATATATATATATATATATATATATATGTATACTAGCAGTTACTACCCATGCATTTCTTCTACAGTTATAGCCGCAGCACGTGAAGGATGGTACAACTGATGCTTATACGCAATACTAATCATTTGCTGTTTTTACACCTTCAGAATATATTACATTTTACCCTTTGTATAAAAAATAACAACAATAATAACTCTTCATAAACCAATGGAAAATTTTCAGCATTGTATTGGGCAGTTAAGGACTTGGAAAACAATTTTCTCTACTATAAAATTCACGAGAAGACTTTCTTAGATAAAATTTGGGTGAATGTTTTTCCACAGCTAAACTTTAATAAACTTTTAGGCTATGTAAATCAATCATGGTGTCCTTCCCAATTCTGTGGGTCGACGATTATGGTTCTCCATTGTCCTCTACTTTTCACTTCCTGCACCAACTTTCCTTATTCAACCTTCTCATCTCCAATCCATTTTCCAATGTCATCGTACCAAGCGAGTTTCTGTCTGATTCTCACTTTCCTTCCTTCGATTATACACATACAATCTCTGCCAACCATTCCCCCAGACTTAATTATATTCACTTACTAGCGCATCTTCAGTTTCCTACACATATCTAGCAGTTGTGTTTTGTCTTTGTACTTCCAATGTATCCTCATTGGTTTTTTATATCTAGTTGATCTTTATCAGGTGTCTATAACAGCACATATCAAATGCAAGGATCATGCGAGTGGTTTTTGTATGTAGTTGATCTTTATCGGGTGTCTGTAACAGCACATATCAAACGCACGGATCATGTAAGGCGATGATTAAAAGCTAATGATGATATTCTAAGTAATGGCCATGGTTACTGACTATTCCACTGCAGGTGGTTTCTGTGTAATACACTGAGGTCAATGTTGTTCCCTCCTCTTTACATACTTTCCAGAGTCCACCAACCGAGGATTCGTTTGAACAACCAAAAGACACAGAAGTCTATGTGAGATATCACCTAATGGCATTGACAGATTTTCCCGTTTGTTCTTGTTTCATGCAGAGGAACTGGCATGTTGACTTGGCTGGGTGCTTTGTCTTTTTGGAGACATACCTACCTTACTGACATCAAAATTGTAGAAATATATTATTTTTTCGTGGTATAGTGATGTCAGTACGTTAGCCCGATGAGTATACAAGCTCACCTTGACATTTATCTTAACTCTCCAGATGTTTAAGTTACCATTATAACTTTAACCTGCGATCCCCTTAAATCCCTTGGAAAAAAATTAAGTAGTTCGCTCTGTACCATTTGTGAAATGCTGTAACGCCGATATAACGACAATAAATTGCTCGAACTTTCGTAGACACTTAAACAGCTATGTTTTGTCCAATGTGACGCCATTTGTCAAGTGCGGCATACTGTTATACAGCTTTCGACAGATGGTCTTCTATTCTGTTATGTGATTTGGGGGAACTTTTGAATATACCGCTTGTGTTTTCGTAAACCTAAATTCGTGTAAATTATTTTATTTACAATTCCAAGGAAGGTCCCTACTTTGATTGCAGTAGGCCGTCGTGCTCTTGAGTTAATTCCAGTGATAATGTTTAACCTATTTACTTGGGGTCTACAGTTGTACCCGAATAAAGATTAACCTGTTTTTTGTCATTGTTGTGTTTGCTTGCTTTAACACTACAGATATCCATTTTTCAAAACGATAAAATTTCGTGCCTTGAATGTTTGTTGTTGTTCTTTTTTTTTATATAACAGCGGAACAGGAGAAATTCAAGTCTGAAAGCTTGTGATGTAAATCACCACAGTTCAACTGAAGTGCAACAAGTAGGTCAGGGCTTATATCCTATGTAGCCACAGAGGTGTCCAGTGACAAGGTGATTTGACACGCACACTACTGCCATTTAATCGTGATCAAACATCTGTATTACAAGGTTTGCAGATGTATCAGAATGCTTAAATGCAAATTTCCAGTGTTATTGTTATTAAAATTCCTGAATGTAGCCACATATTAATTTTTAGTAATTTATTTTTCTAATATATAAGTGCAAAATATTGGTTTTGAATCAAAATAAAGACAGAAATTCACTGCAAACTGAAAATCACTGTTTCTTACCTTTTAGCTTATCTCCAGAAATTACCCTGACGCTGGCCTGTAAGGATGTCATATCAAGAGCAATCTCTTTTGAGTTCACAATATGCCTAACATCTTCTAACCTGGGGCCATCCAATATATATATTCTTGCTGTTTTTGATTTGTCATCACCAAAAACATCTTTTGGGATTTCAATCTCTGCTTTTTCGCTACCATGGCAACTATTAAAGTCATGATGACCACGTGGAGTAGTGGAGCTATTAAAAATATTAAAAAAAATGAAAAAATAACACGACAATTAAAATTTTATAATGAATAGACTGTGTGGATAATTTCAAACTTCACGATTAAAAAATAACTAACATTTCACAGTTTTGCCTAAGAAAATCGATGGTAGCACATACGTTAAGAAAAATACAAACTTTAATTAACAGCAGATCTTTCAGCACACAAGTACAATAACGAAGTTAATGTTGTTTACTGACAGCACAGTTCTGTAGTTTTCATAAGTACTATAGTATTCTTCCTTTTTCTTGTCTACAGTAACTGTTTACATGTACATACACGTAACAGATATACGCATACTTCAGTATTGTAATTTATTAACTGCTCTCACTTGAACAATAACAGAAATTAGCGGTAAAAAATACGGAGCAATTTGTGGATTTGGGAAATATACAGATCTGTTGTTGTTAATAAGATATTTCTTACGTCAGTGATTTTTCATTTTATTAAAGATTACATATGAATACTTTTTTCAAGTACAACAAACTATACGCGCGTTTTACGGTCATCATTATTGGCGAGTTGATTATTGGAAGCTGGAGTAAATATTTAAACGAATGATCAAATTAATTTTGAAACATTTTAATTTAGACAGTAAACTAAAATTAGTTTATAGATTTTTTTCAGGGAATAACTTCAACGGCATCGTGACCTTTTTGGCATTCTACTGTCCATTTATTAACCTTTTTGGCATTCTACTGTACATTAACCTTTTTGGCATTTTACCGTCCATTTATTAACCTTTTTGGCATTCTACTGTCCATTTATTAACCTTTTTGGCATTCTACTGTCCATTTATTAACCTTTTTGGCATTTTACCGTCCATTTATTAACCTTTTTGG